GGATGGATGGGCGGCTTTGCAAGAAAGTGCCTTTGATGCCAAAAACCACATTCGAGAAAAACTCAGTTTGCCAATGAACAGACAGAGCAAAGTGTTTGGAATAACATAGAAATCAAGTTAGAGCAGTTTGACCACAATAACCGTAGACCTGTTTGGGTTCCATTTTCAGCCTTAGAAGCTGGGGAACAAGACGCCATTAATTCAACTTTAAATTCTGCATCTTATAAAGAGTACTTGGAGATAATGTTAGGCCATCTGAAGGTAGCTTGAACCAGAAGTGACCCTTTCAACAGCATAATGGTTTGAATTCCACTGAAATGTTATAGAGGCTCGATTTAAAGCAGGCTTTACATATAAGAAAACCCACAAAGATGCTGCTGCTGCTGAGTGAACTTGCACGGTGAAGTAGTCAGTCAATGTCAGAAATTGCTAGACTGTTATGCAAAACATTTACAAGAAGTTATTACTGCTAACGGGTTGCAGTACCAGCTTCTGAGGCCAAGGGTACACTTAATATCTCACAGTATAATATTACCCCCATTTACAACTTTGTGGAATAAAACATTGAAAAAGTTATCTTCTTCCTCACATTTATCTTTAAGTGTGTCAGCTTTGTCTGTAGGCTTTGTTTCAATGAGGATCCAGTGTTTCCCTATGTAAATATGTCAATAAAGCCAACAATTTATATTGGATGTACTCACTTTTTTCATATGCACACCGTAAGCGTTAATGCCGGCCGACACCTCCAGAGAGCAACAGCTCTCTCCGACATCCACGGCATAAGCAGGTCGATAAAATCATAAAAAAAAACATGCACGCTTGAAATTGTTTTTCAGAAGGTATATTAAGCTATTTATCAAGCCAGAGGGAATCGCTAAACTACAGTTTATAGTGATTATGAACAAATTGCTTCACATATCCCTCTAGGAAAAAAACTCTATAGCGTCGGCATTTTAACAGAGGGGTCAGAGCAGCAAGGCTCAGAGCAGAAGTCCTGAAGGAAGTGCAGTTTCAGACTCTACTGTAATATATTCTATTATACCCCGAGCCACAGTTTGATCCCATTACATAATTAGACAGAGAATACTGAGTTAGGAAGGCTGTAAAACGGATCCTGTTGGCTGCTTCATAAATGAGGTTAGGGTCATAAGCCACAGACCACAGCAAAGACTGAGCCGATTTAATTCAGAAAGGAAAAATATCTTGTGTTTTTGTTTTGTCAATTTGGGTAAACAAAGGCTAAACAGCACTGTTGCTAAACTTTAGAAAGTGCAGCTTCATATGCAAATTACTATGCATGTAAATGAGCCACATCCACCCACGAGGTGGATTATTATGCATTATTAACGTATGCAGGCAACAGGGGCTACACAGGAGACACTGCAGAAATCAGCAATTGCATATAAACACAACCAAACGCACACAGACGCACACACTGACTCTCCTCCTTGTTACCTGCGGCTGTGATGCGTGTGAGCTCTTACACCCTAATGTTGACACAGTGCTTTCCTGCCACATTACACATGGTGACACTCTCCACAGAGTGGGTAAAGACACGAAGGGGAACTGCGCTGGCAGGGAGCTGTTCACTGACTGAACAGGAAACACAGCCCTTCGCTGTCACCATTGTGCTAGTGTCGGATAACTGGGGTGGGTGGGTGGGTACAGTCTCTACCAAAGTGGGCCAGAAAATGTTCGTTTGTGTCGCCGGTGTGTCCGCCTCCAGAAGCTGATGTATGAGCTTCGGTCTCGATAGACACGTCGCAATTACAGGGATCAATAAGGAAAATGTCAGTTGGTACTCCGGCTCCAAGGGAAGTATTCTCTGAGAAATGTTTATAATATGACTACAAATAAGAATCAGGACAAGATAAGAAGATAAGAAAATAAGTAACAGGACAAGAAGAAATTCAAAGGTTTGAGATTGATTGTTTCCAAATATTTGCCATCATTTAAAGTATCTTTTTTGTCATCATTTTTCATGGATTTAAGAACGGTTGTCAAACTATGCATTAATATGGATAGATGCTCCTACACTATATTATTACACACCTACAGGAGCTGCTCAGCCATGGAGACCCATACTATGAAGCTCCCAGTGCACAGTTTCTGTGCTGATGTTAAGGCCAGAGGATGTTTGTTTTGGCTCCAAAAAACAAAACAAAAACAAAAGCAGGGACACAAAATGCAAAACAAAAAAAAAAGGCCCCCGAATTAATATTTTTCTATTAACTGGCACCACATATGAACATCAGGACTCGACCACATGGCAATTAACACTAAACCGCATGAGCAACTGGAATAATTTCCTTTTAAACAAAGTAACAGGAAAAATAATTTGTGACATTTTGGATAATGGACTTGTTAATTTGTTTCCTGTTAATCTGCACTTGTTCGCCAGAGAACCGATTCATTAAAACTGCCTTCACCGCTGACAGAGAGGATCAGAGGGCAATTATCTACCAGAGCACTGTGCCGCGTTCCATCTGCACTCCTTACACTTTGCAGAAAGATTGACTTTGCCCTGCAGATAATAACGGTCAAGACATCGTGAAGTAAAAGCCTCACAGGCAGGTTCGTACCACATTTCATGAGGATTTTACGATGATGCGCAGTCAAGGAGGCATTCTTTAAATGTGATGTACGAATTCTGCGCTCGCTTGAATATAAAATAAGTCTTGTTCCTGTTCACTCAGACCTACTGACCTCGCATAGTGTGTGGGAATCAATACATCTGCCACATGAAGCCCTGTTTTTTAATAACCCACAGCGAGTGTTGGTTATGTTCTCAGAATAGTGACAGAGGTCTGCTCAAACCCCTCCTGTAACACAGAGATGCAAGCATCCACACACCTGTGTGAGCTCCTGTTGCTCCAGTTCCCATTTCTTGATGCCGTTGTCTCTCGATCCACTGAACAGCACGTCTCCCTGCACAGCCAAACACTCGATGCCGTCATAATGTGGAGGCTCAAAGTTATGAGCTGGACCTACGTTTCCCAGAGTTCCCTCTGCCACATCAAACACCTGACAGGAAAGGAAACATTTGTGTGTATCTTTGATTTATCAGGTGACAGACAATGATATTCAGATAGATTAAGAATGAGTGGGGTTTGTTTTAAGCTGTACCTTGACATAATGATCTTTGGAGCCAGTGATTACTTGATCTTTGCCCAGCAGAGACTGCCCCACAGTGAGACACATGACAGAGCCGATGTGGCCTGTCAGCTTCCCCATCGCTTGCATCCTACACACAAACCGAAATACACAAACACAACAAGCAGAAACCAAAACAAGGTGAAACAAAGGTCTGTGAAATTCATCATTTGAACGAACTTTGAGGTGTCGCTGAATAATTCCAGTTTCTCTCTCACAAGTGAAGTAAAGCTGCAGAGACGCGGCAAAGCCATGGGCAGAAATGAAATGTTTAATACATTCATTTTTCATTTCTGGGGGGTTCTTATGCATCATTAAATGGTTCTGAGCCCCTCAGCGTAAACTGTCTGGTCCAATCTGTTAATAATTTCCCTCTAGAAGCATAAAAACTGAGGAGAGAGAGATGCTTCCACAGGATCCCAGAAATGATTCCTGGTAGAAAACATGCTCGTGATCACGCTTCATATCCTCAGCACTGCATTTTTTTGCCGTCTTTTTAAATCTCTTGTCAGCCTTTTTGAAGCTCTTCTATCAAATGCTAATCAGCTCGCTGGCTTATTAACATGCAATAAGTGAATACATCCACAGCCATGTCTAAATGAATTTAAAGAGTGGGCAGTAAAGAAATTAAGTGCATAGATGAAGCTCGCATGAATGACTCACAGAGTCTTTAAGCAGTAACTTGATGAGAAGATCAATGAATATAATAATGTATTAACGGATTAGATCATCAACAAATGTACCTGTTGAGGTCCCAGATGCGAACAGTGTTTCCAGCAGCAGCATAGAGCACTGATCCTGACGGGTTGAGAGCTATCTGGTTGATCTGACACTCGCCCTGAGCAAAGGTAATTGTGCGGGTGGTGGTGCCGGCGCACGCATCACCTGAAACCACCTGCCCTGAGGAGCTGTGGGGATGTAGAAGAGGAAGAAGAAAGGTGGAAAAAAACACAAGAATCAGAGAAGTAAGTGCAATCAGCAGTTGTCATTTCCTCTACTTTAGCTTGTCATATTTCTTCAACTGGAGGCACATCGCTGAGCAGAAAAAGAAAAAAAAAGGCCTTTTAAAATCACTTCCATTAAATCTCTCCAAGCAAGGCTGTAATTCGGGAAAAAGCTCTAAACTTTTCCACCCGATGGGTTCCCTGCATGAAACTTACGTGAGCGTCCGGACGCACTTGGCCGCGTCGCGGATGTCCCACACCTTGATGTAGGAGGTGGACACAGAGAACACCAGACAGGAGGAGGGGCAGTATTTGACAGACACGACATTGTTTGGGTGGCCTTTGAGGGTGACGATCTCCTGACCTGTCACCAGGTTCCACATCTTGCAGGTGCGATCTGAAAGAGGGGAGAAAGTCAAACGCATTACAAACAGTCCACTAGTCAGTCCAACTATTTGTCAGACTGTAATAAAATCCCTTCCTCCTCTCACTCTGTTAAACAAAATTACGAAGCATCGCAGAAACATTTGCTCAAATCCTACAGTAACAGTTTACTTAGAATGGCACAATTTCAGTTTAATTGGTTTATAGCTTGAGAGGAATCAATTTCAACTGATAAGCTCTGTAAAATGCATTTCAAAGGAAACACTCCAACGCTGCTGTTTTAGCGATGCGTTTACCTTTAGATCCAGTGAAGAGCAGCTCATCTGTAGCGTCCACACACAGCACTGGCTTTGAGTGGCCCTCGGCTACAGAAACACATTGCAGGGGTGCAGTTCGACCCCCCTTCACACCTCCGATGGGACTGATCACACCCCTACGGTTCACAAACACACAGAAAGTGTCAGAGTGGTTCCAAAATCAATCAACCAGCAAGATTTAGGTTTGCAAAGCACAGGCTGACCACAAACATGCATTTTTTGTTGACTATACAGAAGCAATACAAACCCATACATTGCTCACTGAAAGCGCCAGATAAACTACGCACACAATTGTGTTTCCATCACTTCAGGCGCAGGGGCCTTCATCCTACAACTTAATGGCCTACTTTAAGAGGTGAGATGTCTCACCCGAAATGTGTCTGTAAACAGATTTATGCCCACACCGTATCAGTTAAACAAGTAGACACACTTTGCTGATGGAGGTAGCCTGCCCGCTCCATCTCACTTTCCCCTCCCTCTTTTCTTTTTGTTGTTGAGCAGCCCAATTAAGGCTCTACAGCAGTAAGAGCTGCTTTCTTATTCAACTCCTCTTTCTCTTTCCCTCACACACACATGCACACACACAGTTATGTGCACACAGTCTCCTCTATATTATGTGCACTCAGTCTCTCTAGCTTGGACCTCTGCTTCCCCTCACCATCCCAATCTATGTCGCACTGACAGGCCAGGGTCCCAGAGTGCCTGGAGAGCAGTCAGCGGAGTGAGACAGAGCAGGGAGCGGGTGAGAGGAAGAGGGAGAGCTGTGGGAAAATTGGTCCCCGATGGGCTTCACAAGTGGTGGTTAGTGTGTGTGTGTGTGTGTGTGTGTGTGTGTGTG